CTTCTTTCTTTGCGTGCACATTTGAGCGCATTATGCTAATATTTCCACATAGTGAGGTAGATATGTGGGGGCGTGTTAGAACGAGCCGTTTTAGGGGGGCGTGGCAGAGTCTTAACTTTGATAAAGAATATCTCTTTGGTTTTGAGACTTTAGTCTTTGCAACTTCAGGGATCTTATCTATGCACAATCAGCTTGTAACACTCCAAAGAGAAAGGAAAACTTGAAATCGCATCATATGACCGCTTTAATGCAGGAGTGATGTGACAAAAATTATTTAAAATTCCCAACGTTCACTTCATTGTGATGTGATGGAATGCAAAAGTTTATTTTTTGTAGCACATTTCATACACGATGGTAATTCAAACTGGATTGCCAAAAAAAATCATAACAGATGCATAAGAAAAAGAAATATTAAATGCAAATGTATTTAAAATGTTACAAAATAAATGTTTATTTACATTGTTATCAGTAGTATGCAGCACAGTGCGTATTCATTAAATGCACAGCTAAAAGCAAATAAAAAATTGTGAGTTTAGTATTGCATGCATTAAATTAAGATATGAAAATGTTCTGCATATTTGCCTGCAGTGCTGAACTCTCACACGCATTCATAGAGAGCTCTCATTTGCATTTGGCTTTGCATATCCTAGTGGTCACTAGGTAACAGTTAAAATCTTCCACCCCTGACAACTTCCATGTTCTGTAGTTTTATTGTATGCACATTTTTTGAACTTTTCCCTATCAGATTACAGTCAAACAATAGGTCACACATTTAGAAGTTTTAAATCCACTTTCATGATTGAGTTTCCTCTCAAATGTTTTCTTTTCCTTTTTGCGTTGATTTGTTGTTGTTTATATGCACTTTAAAAAAATAGTGTAATGGTCAAAAGTGTGAAAACGAGCGTTCACATTTTAGTTTCCACAATCTGGTTAATATTCATAAGCTGTTCGGAGCCAAGAGCAGCGTGCGCTATTAATATTCATGAGCTGCCGCCCGCCATTGGAAGCCTCCTTGGTGTGACGTACGCATGACATAATTAATATTCAACAGGTACGCTTAGTGGTTTGTGTTTTATGCGACTGAAGTCAGATGCGCACGCGACTCCCGTGGGAAGATATTTTATCCTATTTAATAATTCATATTTTAAGGATTTAACATGGCACGTGAGATATTTTAGCGTTAAAATGGCCTTCAGACTGGATAATGGCTTTGAAAACGACTCTTCTGCCATACAGTGAACTGTGAAGGAGATGATGAAGAAATCAATAGATCAGCAAACTGTATCCAAGAGATCCAAATGATCAACAACAGATGCTTTTCCAGAGAAATGACGAATGTAAGTGGCTTTTTATTCATGCTTGTGTGGAAAATGGATTGATTTGTCTTATATTTCTATGATATATGGTGTTATTAAAAATTAAATAAAGTATTCTGTGTGAAAAGGCAATGGTTAACGTTGTTATGCATAACACAAGAGTTCCTGGTGCATTGGTTTTGTGCATGTTACTCGTTATTAGACAGTTTTCACTGATGTTTGAGTGCCTCAGAGCTTCTTCAGGTTGCATTTCTGATGACATTTGCTAGGCAACACAATCTTTCTGTTCGTGTTCAACAGGAGCAGCTCAGCAGGACTCCACCTTGTGCTTTACAAAGACGAAATGCTGACTTTAGAAGCTTGAAGACAGAACAAGGCAAATCTGAGGATTATTTAGGGTTTATAAAAGTTGTAAAAATCGGCTTTTTTGGGAAATGTGGTTGCTAGGGTGTTGCAAAAAGTGTTGTTTTAATATTATAGCATTGCATATTATTTTTGGCTGATTTGCGGAGACAGAGGGCGGGGTTCGAACTCGGGACATTCTTATTCGTTTTTTATATTTCTATACAGCTTTTATTTATTTTTATTTCTGTTTTAGTCTTTTTAGTACTTCAGCTTAAGTATATTTATTTCAGTTTGTTATCAAGGCAATATTTTTTTTAAGTTTTTGATGAAATATTTGTATTTTATTTCAGCTACCGGAAATGATTTTAAATGGTTTTAGATGTAATTAAATATAAAAACACTGGATGCAAATCGTTGCTAAGGTGTTGGCTGAGGGATTGATAAGGTGGTTGCTAAGAGGTTTCTAGGTAATTACTGATGTGTAGTATTGTTTTATTGAATTTTTCTGTATTGGTTAGTCAGATGGCATTTCTAGATAAATTACCACCCTTACTTTTTAACTATAATGTAAATATGTTATATATAATAATACAAACTACACTTAAAGCAGTTTAATTCAATTCAATGTTATTTTAGTATTATTTATATACCATTCTAGTGTTTATTGATATTTTGAATTAGCTTTTATTTGTATATTTTCAGTTTTCAGTATATAATATAATATAATTAAAACACTGCTTGTTGTTGCTAAGGTGTTCTTGTTGGCCGAGTGATGCTGATGCTGGTTGATAAGGTGGTAGGGTGTTGCTAATGTGTTTTAGTGTTGCTAAGCAATAGCTAGATAGATACACAGACAGACAGACATTAGATGGACAGGATTAAATTAAATAATAGGATAAATTGGATTTTATAAGATAAGAGGCAGAAAGCTTTACAGTGTAAACATAATTTTTTCGAATTTGTAAATAAACCAAAGACGGAATAGGCCTACTAAGAGAAAATACTATTTCAATCTTTCTAATTCAGAATTTCTCGCTTAATTCAATGTGTTACTTGCCGTTTCTTTGCCGTTTGTTTCAAAGTAAACCCTAGTGTAGGAGTTGCGTTTAGACGTTTTGGTCTCAGGTTGGGGATTTTGGAAAGAAGCTGTAACTCAAGGTCAGTACTACTGACATTAGCAGCTTTGTCAAGCCAACATAATGATGCCAGGTAGAGTCTTTTAAAATCTTTCATTGTTCTGGTTGAAGAGACTCGAAGCACAATGATTTAGCCTTTCATGCATAAATTACAGAACAGTTCGTTTTTTTCTTTCAAAACTTAAGTAGCAGTCTTGAGTCGCTGGGGGATATTTGTAGCAATAGCCAACAATACATTGTATGGGTCAAAATGATAGTTTTTTCTCTTATCCCAAAAATCATTAGGATATTAAGTAAAGATCATGTTCCATGAAGATATTTTGTAAATTTCCTACCGTAAATATATCAAAACGTAATTTTTGATTAGTAATATGCATTGCTAAGAACTTCATTTGGACAACTTTAAAGATGATTTTCTCAATATTTTGATTTTTTTGCACCCTCAGATTCCAGATTTTCACATAGTTGTATCTCAGCCAAATATTGTCCTATCATAACAAACCATACATCAATGGAAAGCTTATTTATTTATTTTTATGACTGGTTTTGTGGTCCAGGGTCACGAATGATCTAGCTGTATCGATGAAGAGCGTTTGTTTGTGTGTGTTTGCAGCTGAACTGCTTCGGGCGTCACCGCAGACGAACAGCCCCGCAGAGCAACGGCAGCAGAAATGAGCTGTTCGCTCCACCGCTTCACTCCAGGATCAACGGCTGGTCTCTGCCTCTGCACAGCCTCCAGCTCCTCGCCTGGCTCGTCTACAGCTTCATGGCCATCGTCGGCTTCGGCATCTACGTGCCTCTTCTGCCGGCGCCGTGGCGCTTTGCAGCGTACGCCGTATCCTTTACAAACACAAACATTTCACGATAGTGATTCTGATCACAAAACATACTGTACACTGTAAAACATCATTTTTTTCTATTACTTAACTCCAGAGGTGGAAAGAGCACAAACATATTCTACTCAAGTAAAAGTACCAATGACATTTTGACATTTTACTTAAGTACAAGTAAATGTACCAGTCTAAAAATCTACTCAAGTAAAAGTAAATAGTAGCTAATGACTTAGTGACTTAGTTACATTTTAACAGCTGGAGGGAGGCAAAAATGGGATTGGCCAAGGCTGTCCTGCACAGTTTAGATATAACCCTAATTAAACACATCTGATCCAGCTTATCTAATCATTTAGACTTATTTGAAAACTACATGGTATGTGTGTTGGAAGTAAACTCTGCAGGGCTGCGGCTTTTGAGTTTGAGACCCCTGGGATAGGCCTATGACTCTCAAACCAGTTGTTTTTAATGAAAGGAATCGGTTATTTAGAATAATAAGACATTTGGGCTGTTACCAGGCAAATTAAATCAGTATCAGCAAAATTCATCTTTGCAATGAGGAAACACAAAAGCTTCATCGGAAGTGGCATTTAGCTGTATTTACACACTGTATAATGCAGGACATGAATGCATTTAACCTGCAGTTACAAATGCAGAAATAATGTTTTGATATATAAAAATGTTGAATACTCATTTGAAATTATAAAAAAAAAAAAAAATTTAATATAAAAAAAAAAAAAAAAAGATACTTTAAACGTGAAATTAAAACCGCCAGTAGGTGTCAGCAAGTCACTGTTAATAAGTGAGTCATTGCGATTGAACCGAATCATTTAAACGGTTGATTCATTCAGGAACGAAACACCGTCTTGTTGCTCAGAGATGCAAAACTGTGCTGTTGCTGTGTTTGGAATTATTTTTGTTGTCGGAATAGAGCAAAAACAGGCAATCTGGTATCTGAAACGCAAGTCTCTTAATTAACTTCTTGTTTATTGAACTGTTGTAAAAAAAAAATCTATAGACCAATTATAGGTTTGTAAATATTCAGGATGTCCTTTAAAAGGCTTCATTTAGATGATTTTACATTAAATACATCATATAAGTCACTTTGGAATAAATCACAGTAGGCCTATGTATCATGATAAAAAAAAGCACTTTACAGTCTGGAAATACTTTAGGCTATAGCAAATTATTTCTCGGACCCCCTATCACTTTAAGAACCGCTGGTCTAGACAGAAGAAAGCCCTGCCTAGACTCTGCCTCACGAGTTGTGTCCAGCTATTTATTAGTCTGTTTGATGAGAAAAATATGAAATGTAGTTGAAATTAAAATGTGTTATTAATCCGTACAACTGCAGCAGCGGAGGACTATTATTCTGCTGCATGATACTGCAGAAGAACTGATGACGGCGCGGTTTGATCTTCGGCTGACCAATCAGCAGAAAGGGGCGTTTAATTCCCGCCCACGTGTAGAAATCGAATATTCAAGCTATTTATTCATTTTTCCACCCATGAACGAAAAACGAAAATTTAAGCTGAATTCTCGTTTTTCGTCTTTTGGGAAAAAACGAAAAAACGAAAAAGGAGTCTTTTCTCAATTTTCTACTTTCAATATTAAATAAAAAAATGAATGATCGAATGATACACGGATTGCCATGGAATAAAAGAATAAAAAAAGATAAAATTAGATTTTATATTTCAAAATTATAACTTTATTTTCGCAATTACGAGATCATATCTCACACTTCTAATAAGGAAAAACAACTCGTCCTTCTCTCTCTTCCCCTCGGCTCTTCTGGCTTTCTTCCCTCAGATTTGACAAACTCACTATTTTTGAGTTAAGTCGAGTTATAAAGTCCAAATTAGGAGATATAAACTTGCATTTGTGACAAAAAAAAGTCAGAATTGTGAGATAAATTAAATAAATGTTATATAAAAATGTTAATAGTAAGGTTTAAATAATATTTCATGCTGTAACTGTAGGGCTAATACAATACGTCCCCTATGAACAGCATATGTGAATATTATGTAGACCTATTGTTTAAATCAAATTTATGCTTTAAAAGTAGAGTAATCATAGCAGTTTTCATCCATAGTATGTCCATTTAAACGTCTGCGTTTAGCTTCAAATGAAGTCAGTATTCTATAAAAATTATTTGCATTCCGATCTTGACATCAAAAGGCACAAAAATATATTTTTCTTCTATTCCATGGATTTTACCCATTTACCTCCACTTGTTCCCAGTGTTTTTCTGCAACCACTATGCGCGCGCAGCTGCAAGTGACGTAACTGTGACGTCTACTCTGAATTGGTCTATATGTAATCATGCTGTTTTTTGGAGGAAAAAACGTCACTCTTCGTGTGATATTGATTTACTATATGAAATGATATAAATATATACATTTCTGCCCCTATCTTAAATTTTGTGATCATTCTAAATACACTTCAACAGACTGAATCACGCAGTGAAAGAACGCACTCTAAATGCGCGCGCGCACTAGTCTAATCTACTAGACTTCACGGCACTCTGTAGGAGTGTTTTGTTTGGTTTTTGGCAAAATACTGATAATGTCAAATCGCACATCGTTCAAACAACAATTACTATATTATCGCAGACGATATATATCGCACACCCTGCACCACTGTCT